ACAATCCTTTTCTGTACTACAATCCTTCTCTGTACCCCAAAACCGTCTTTACCACAACCTTTCTCTATACAACAATCCTTCTCTGTACAACAATTCTTCTCTGTACTACAATCCTTCTCTGTACTACAATCCTTCTCTGTACTACAATCCTACTCTGTNCTTCTCTGTACTACAACCGTTCTCTGTACTACAATCCTTCTCTGTGCAATAATCCTTTTCTGTACAAAAATCCTTCTCTGTTCAACACTCTTTCTCTGTGCAACAATTCTTCTTTGTACTACAACCTTTCTCTATACAACAATCCTTCTGTGTACAACAATTCTTCTCTGTACTACAATCCTTCTCTGTACTACATTCCTTCTCTGTACAACAATCCTATTCTGTACAACAATTCTTCTCTGTTCTACAATCCTTCTCTGTACTACAATCCTTCTCTGTACAACACTTCTTCTCTGTACTACAATCCTTCTCTGTACTACATTCCTTCTCTGTACAACAATCCTTCTCTGTACAACAATTCTTCTCTGTACTACAATCCTTCTCTGTACTACAATCCTTCTCTGTACAACAATCCTTCTCTGTATAACAATCCTTCTATGTACAGCAATCCTTCTCTGTACTACAATCTTTCTCTATACAACAGTTCATCTATTTACATCAATTCATCTCTGTTCAACAATCTTTCTCTGAACAACAATCCTTTTCTGTATAACAATTCTTCTCTGTACTACAATCCTTTTCTGTACTACAATCCTTCTCTGTACAACAATCCTTCTCTGTACAACAATCCTTCTCTGTACAACAATCTTCTCTGTACTACAATCCTTCTCTGTGCAATACTCCTTTTCTGTACAAAAATCCTTCTCTGTTCAACACTCTTTCTCTGTGCAACAATTCTTCTCTGTACTACAATCCTTCTCTTTACATCAATTCATCTCTGTACAACAATCATTTTCTGTACTACAATCCTTCTCTGTACCCCAACACTGTCTTTACCACAACCTTTCTCTATACAACAATCCTTCTCTGTACAACAATTCTTCTCTGTACTACAATCCTTCTCTGTACTAAATTCCTTCTCTATACAACAATCCTACTCTGTACAACAATTCTTCTCTGTACTACAATCCTTCTCTGTACTAAATTCCTTCTCTTTACAACAATCCTACTCTGTACAACAATTCTTCTCTGTACAACAATCCTTCTCTGTACTACAATCCTTCTCTGTACAACAATCCTACTCCTCTGTAAAACAATCCTTCTCTGTAGAACAATCATTCTCCATACAACAATCCTTCTCTGTACTACAATCCTTCTCTGTAGAACAATCTTTCTCTGTACAACAATTCTTCTCTGTACTACAATCCTTCTCTGTAGAACAATCTTTCTCTGTACAACAATTCATCTCTGTACTACAATCCTTCTCTGTAGAACAATCTTTCTCTGTACAACAATTCATCTCTGTACTACAATCCTTCTCTGTTCAACAATCCTTCTCTGTAGAACAATCATTCTCCATACAACAATCCTTCATTATACAACAATCCTTCTCTGTACAACAATTCTTCTCTGTACTACAATCCTTCTCTGTACTACAATCCTTCTCTGTACTACAATCATTCTCAGTAGAACAATCCTTCTCTGTTCAACAATCTTTCTCTGTACAACAATCTTCTCTGTACTACAACCGTTCTTTCTACTACAATCCTTCTCTGTGCAACAATCCTTTTCTGTACAAAAATCCTTCTCTGTTCAACATTCTTTCTCTGTGCAACAATTCTTCTCTGTATTACAATCCTTCTCTTTACATCAATTCATCTCTGTACAACAATCCTTTTCTGTACTACAATCCTTCTCGGTACCCCAACACTGTCTTTACCACAATCCTTCTCTGTACAACAATTCTTCTGTGTACAACAAACCTTCTCTGTACTACAATCCTTCTCTGTACAACAATCTTCTCTGTACTACAACCGTTCTCTGTACTACATTCTTTCTCTGTACAACAATCCTACTCTGTACAACAATTCTTCTCTGTACTACAATTCTTCTCTGTACTACAATCCTTCTCTGTTCAACAATCCTTTGTAAATTGGCTCAGTTTTATTGTGGACAATATGAATTTGCATTCAATAATAATAAATTCTGAACATGTTGAACAATAAAAAGTTAACAATGATATCACACACATATTCTTTTATTTGTATGTGTATTTAATAGGCGCCCCAGCGAAGCTTTTTAATGGTAACACATGCGTGCGTAAACAGAGTTGCTTCCCCTTTCTCCACCTTGTCTTTAAAAAATTTCGTCCGGAAGTAGACGTCCAATGGGGAAACAGGAGGTGTATCCTTGAAGCAAAGACAATTGTGTTTCAACCCATGCATGAACATCTTCATATAGTGAAAACAATACCCATGTTTTATGACTTATTTATTTAGGTAAAAACTAATATACATTCTGAGTGAAAAAATCTATAACATGAATTTGGATACTAGCACGCATGAAACGTCGTTCAGAGATTATCATACTATGACGTCACAAGCACGTCACACTACATCGGCCTTCATCAGTTATTTCCGGAAGGATGAACAATAACCGCAAAATCTTGGAACTAATGGCCGTTGCATTTATCTCTTCGTCGGTGCTTCATGACTATTTTATTTCAGTTTTTTCTGTATATTTTCGCGGATATTTTCTGAAGATCCTTTTTGTCATCAACCATGTACTGTTAAAATTTCTACCGGGAGATATTTTCAAAAAGAGCCGTATTAAACCAATAGGTCAACGTGTACATTTATTTTTCATCGTCTAAAATTTCATCAGCTTTTGATTTCGATTTGTTGAGAATATGAACGAAATAATTAACATTTTTGAAAGTCTGGTTATCGTCTTTATATAATATATGTATGCATCACCACTCATAAAAGAAACAATGGATAATTCCTTTATGTCGAAATCAACAATAATTTTGCCCTGACGGAAGCACGCAGATGATTTAATTCTCAATGTAGGAGGAAGATGGAGTATCAGGATAAACCCCGCGTGGTTGGGTAGGTGACCGGGATTTAGTCCGGCCATCTTGGTGAAGACGAGCGCGCTATCCACTGTGCCAACCGACCCATCATATACCTTACGCACAGGAACAAATATCTGCTTCAGCTTTGACTGTAAGAAAAAGGCGTCATTGATGCAAAAAATATATTGTGAATACATTTTTACCAATCATCAATGACACACAAAATCTACATACGGGAGACAGGGGCAAGGTAGGCCACCCCTAATATTTTTGTTTTTGAGCTGATATTTACATTTTTAAGGATCTTTGCAGTTAAGTTGGCTGGGCGTTCACAAGAAAAAAAGGGAAAGAAAAACTGTAATGTAAAATTACTAAACATGAGAAAATTGCTTTTGAGAGGGTAGTATCTAAATAAAATCAAGATCTCGCTTCTAGTTATGCGAACTTTCTGTAAACGGAATTGCCATTTTTTTTTACGGTCAAACGTGTAACATACTGGCAGCTTCAAATGATATACATAAAAGTCAAGCCAAGCACTCACTACCATATTGCTATACGATAAGAATTAATTGAAATATCAATTTGGGCCCGGACAGTTTCGGCCAATGAAACAGTGGCAAGTTCGGCCCATGTAACACATAAAAAGTCGTAAAATTGGCGGTACAATCTGACGTTGCATACTTACGACATCATAATTAAGCTGATTCCAATGGGGCCAAATTCACCCGAATGCCTGTCCGAACGTATCCCATGGCAGGGCTCGTTCGGCCATCCGATCTTCCGACAGTGAAACTTGCTCCTATCTCCCCTATTGTTATGTCAGTCTTAATCTCATTAGAGCTTTTGTTCTATTGTTATTCCTCGACTTGCCGACTTAAAATAAAGTTTATCTTACCTCATTCTGAAAGCAGTATCCTGAATCCGCAAATATCAGAAATCAACAAAAGCTACGCTCTTTTAAGGCTTTGCCTTTTCATATTAACTCGTAATTCGGATCAAGGATAATTGCTCTGACGTCATATTCGGGAACGTCCACAAACACAACGAAACAACACAAAGCTGTGACACCTGACGTTTGCAGTTCTCATGCTTTTATTTACATATGTGGTTGAGATTCAGACTGAATGGTAATATACACCGGAAGAAGTGGTCACCATATTACTGTCACATATTTCAATCACAAACCTTGAAACATTTCTGAATCTCAAAGCAGATAAAATCGTGTCAGTCTAGTTGGTGAAAAAGGGAGTTTAATTTTTTCATTTTGTACACTTTGAGTTTGCAGGCATCAAGGTAAATTACATGTTTGTTTTGGTAGGGTAAGAGTTTGAATCAAAACTAAATGAGGATGTGTAACATTGAATGCTGGATGTGTCAGGATGTCACACGCTATGATTTGCTTACAGACATTGGAATGGATAAATTCTTTATTACTGTTAGGTAAAACGATTCTTTTTGCGGTCAATGGCCTACATCCGGGTACAATGTGCTGCTGTGTTTGTCAATGGCCTACATCCGGGTTCAATTTGTTGCTGTGTTTGGCAATTGCCTTCATCCGGGTACAATGTGTTGCTGAATTTGTCAATGTTCTACATCCAGGTACAGAGTGTTGCTGTATTTGTCAATGGCCTACATCCGGTAACAATGTGTTGCTGTGTTTGTCAATGGCCTACATCTTGGTACAATGTGTTGCTGTGTTTGTCAATGGCCTGTGTCCCGGTACAATGTGTTGCTGTGCTTGTCAATGGCCTACATCCGGTTACAATGTGTTGTTGTGTTTGTCAATGGCCTGTGTCCCGGTACAATGTGTTGCTGTGTTTGTCAATGGCCCACATCCGGTTACAATGTGTTGCTGTGTTTGTCAATGGCTTGTGTCCCGGTACAATGTGTTGATTTGTTTGTCAATGGCTTTTGTCCCGGGACAATGTGTTGCTGTGCTTGCCAATGGCCTACATCCTGGGACAATATGTTGCTGTGTTTGTCAATTGCCTACATCCGGGTAAAATGTGTTGCTGTGTTTGTCGTGGCCTACATCCGGGCACAATGCGTTGCTGTGTTTGTCAATGGCCTACATCCGGGTACAATGTGTTGCTGTGTTTGTCATGGTTAGCCCTGTGGCACTATGGCTGGAGTCGTCCATCTTGGACAAAGTTGTGTAACGCTGTTTCTTGTAACACCCGAACATGATTTTAAACCCTGCAATAGCAAATAAGAAAATGTTAAGACTCTAGTTACTTCCTTTTCAAGTTTTAAATAGCGCAAGATCGCCACCAATACACGTTATCCAAACATTAGGCGACATAACTTTTAACGGTCATAGATTGAGATTTGTCTAGTCATAGATAAAGGATAATTTAATAGTCATACATTTATAATGCAGTCGATAACAATTTTAGTATGATAACAACTAGTTATGATTTATAATGTAGTCGATAACAATTTAGGTATGATAAGAATTAGGTACGATTTATAATGTAGTCGATAACAATTTAAGTATGATAACAACTAGGTATGATTTATAATGTAATCGATAACAATTTAAGTATGATAACAAATACGTATGATTTATAATGTAGTCGATAACAATTTAAGTATGATAACAACTAGGTACGATTTATAATGCAGTGGATAACAATTTCAGTATGATAACAATTAGGTATGATTTATAATGTAGTCGATAACAATTTTATTATGATAACAACTAGGTATGATTTATAATGTAGTCGATAACAATTTTAGTATTGATAACAACTAGATTGTAGGTATGATTTATAATGTAGTCGATAACAATTTTAGTGTTGATAACAACTAGGTATGATTTATAATGTAGTCGATACAAATTTAAGTATGATAAAAACTAGGTATGATTTATATTGCAGTCGATAACAATTTAGGTATGATAACAATTAGGTACGATTTATAATGTAGTCGATAACAATTTAAGTATGATAACAACTAGGTATGATTTATAATGTAGTCGATAACAATTTTAGTATTGATAACAAGTAGATTGTAGGTATGATTTATAATGTAGTCGATAACAATTTTATTGTTGATAACAACTAGGTATGATTTATAATGTAGTCGATACAAATTTAAGTATGATAAAAACTAGGTATGATTTATAATGCAGTCGATAACAATTTAGGTATGATAACAATTAGATACGATTTATAATGTAGTCGATAACAATTTAAGTATGATAACAGCTACGTATGATTTATAATGTAGTCGATAACAATTTTAGTATTGATAATAATTCGGTAAGATTTATAATGTAGTCGATAACAATTTAAGTATGATAACAGCTACGTATGATTTATAATGTAGTCGATAACAATTTTAGTATTGATAATAATTCGGTAAGATTTATAATGTAGTCGATAACAATTTAAGTATGATAACAGCTACGTATGATTTATAATGTAGTCGATAACAATTTTATTATGATAACAACTAGGTATGATTTATAATGTAGTCGATAACAATTTAAGTATGATAACAAATACGTATGATTTATAATGTAGTCGATAACAATTCAAGTATGATAACAACTACGTATGATTAAGAATGTAGTTGATAACAATTTTAGTTTGATAACAATTAGGTATGATTTATAATGTAGTCGAATCCAATTTAAGTATGATAACAACTAGATATGATTTATAATGTAATCGGTAACAATTTAAGTATGATAACAAATACGTAAGATTTATAATGTAGTCGATAACAATTTAAGTATGATAACAACAAGGTATGATTTATAATGTAGTCGATAACAATTAAAGTATGATAACAACTACGTATGATTAAGAATGTAGTTGATAACAATTTTAGTTTGATAACAATTAGGTATGATTTATAATGTAGTCGATTCCAATTTAAGTATGATAACAACTAGGTATGATTTATATTGTAGTCGATAACAATTTTAGCATCGATAACAATTAGGTATAATTTATAATATAGTCGATAACAATTGAGGTATTGATAACAACTAGGTATGATTTATATTGTATTCGATAACAATTTAAGTATGAAAACAGCAAGGTATGATTTATAATGTAGTCAATAACAATTTTAGTATGATAACAATTAGGTATGATTTATAATGTAATCGATAACAATTTAAGTATGATAACAAATACATATGATTTATAATGTAGTCGATAACAATTTAAGTATGATAACAGCTACGTATGATTTATAATGTAGTCGATAACAATTCAAGTATGATAACAACTACGTATGATTAAGAATGTAGTTGATAACAATTTTAGTTTGATAACAATTAGGTATGATTTATAATGTAGTCGAATCCAATTTAAGTATGATAACAACTAGATATGATTTATAATGTAATCGGTAACAATTTAAGTATGATAACAAATACGTAAGATTTATAATGTAGTCGATAACAATTTAAGTATGATAAAAACTAGGTATGATTTATAATGCAGGCGATAACAATTTAGGTATGATAACAATTAGATACGATTTATAATGTAGTCAATAACAATTTAAGTATGATAACAACTAGGTACGATTTATTATGTAGTGGATAACAATTTCAGTATGATAACAACTAGGTATGATAACAATTAGATACGATTTATAATGTAGTCAATAACAATTTAAGTATGATAACAACTAGGTATGATTTATAATGTAATAGATAACAATTTAAGTATGATAACAAATACAAATGATTTATAATGTAGTCGATAACAATTTAAGTATGATAACAACTAGGTATGATTTATAATGTAATCGATAACAAATTAAGTTTGATAAAAAATACGTATGATTTATAATGTAGTCGATAACAATTCAAGTATGATAACAACTACGTATGATTAAGAATGTAGTTGATAACAATTTTAGTTTGATAACAATTAGGTATGATTTATAATGTAGTCGATAACCATTTAAGTATTGATAACAGCTAAATTGTTGGTATGATTTATAATGTAGTCGATAACATTTTTAGTATGATAACAACTAGGTTTGATTTATATTGTAGTCGATAACAATTTTAGTATCGATAACATTTAGGTATGATTTATAATGTAGTCGATAACAATTTAAGTATGATAACAACTAGGTACGATTTATTATGTAGTGGATAACAATTTCAGTATGATAACAACTAGGTATGATTTATATTGTAGTCGATAACAATTTTAGTATCGATAACATTTAGGTATGATTTATAATGTAGTCGATAACAATTGAGGTATTGATAACAACTAGGTTTGATTTATAATGTAGTCGATAACATTTTTTAGTATGATAACAATTAGGTATGATTTATAATGTAGCCGATAACATTTTTTAGTATGATAACAACTGGGTATGATTTATAATGTGGTCGATAACAATTTTAATATGATAACAGCTAGGTATTAGTCGATAACCATTTAGGTATTGATAACAACTAAATTGTAGGTATGATTTATAATGTAGTCGATAACCATTTAAGTATTGATAACAACTAAATTGTAGGTATGATTTATAATGTAGTCGATAACAATTTTATTATGATAACAATTAGGAATGATTTATAATGTAGTCGATTCCAATTTAAGTATGATAACAACTAGGTAAGATTTATAATGTAGTCGATAACAATCTAAGTATGATAACAACTAGGTACGATTTATTATGTAGTGGATAACAATTTCAGGATGATAACAAGTAGGTATCATTTATATTGTAGTCGATAACGATAGTCAACTAGGTATGATTTATAATGTAGTCGATAACAATTTAAGTATGATAACAACTAGGTAAGATTTATAATGTAGTCGATAACAATTTAAGTATGATAACAACTATGTACGATTTATTATGTAGTGGATAACAATTTCAGTATGATAACAACTAGGTATCATTTATATTGTAGTCGATAACGATAGTNAATTTCAGTATGATTACAATAAGGTATGATTTATAACGTAGTCGATAACAATTTTAGTATGAAAACTATTAGGTAATATTTATAATGTAGTCGATTACAATTTTAGTATGATAACAATTAGGTATGATTTATAATGTAGTCGATAACAAATTAAGTTTGATAACAAATACGTATGATTTATAATGTAGTCGATACCAATTTTAATATGATAACAGCTAGGTATGATTTATAATGTAGTCGATAACAATTTTAGTATCGATAACAACTAAGTATGATTGAAAAAATAGTCGATAACCATTTAGGTATTGATAACAACTAGATTGTAGGTATGATTTATAATGTCGTCGATAACAATTNCGTCGATAACAATTTAGGTTNTTTATAATGTAGTCGATAACAATTTTAGTATGATAACAATTAGGTGTGATTTATATTGTAGTCTATAACAATTTAAGTATAATAATAACTAGGTTTGATTTATAAGGTAGTCGATAACATTTTTT